AAGACTTCCCTGCAGCTTCATGTTCAGTTGTTGCGTCGCTCCATCTCTCCTCCTGTGCCACCTTCACCAGGGCAGTGGCAGGTCAGTCTCTCCTGACTCCAGCGTCAGTGAAACTCCTCTGAAGTCGATCAAAGCTCCCACGTTAAACCCTCTGACTCAGCTGCTCATCGCTCTCCAGTTTGACACGTGTTTCATCCACACACTTTACTTTACTTTTACATTTCCATCCGATGACCTGGGTCATGACTTGGGTCTCTCCATCTTTTCCCCAGCGACTCCACTCCAGCCCTGCACATGGAGGGCCCCAGTTGCTCCATGTCTCACTTGGATCCTGTAGCTGCGTCACTGGAGCCGTCAGGTTCTCTTATAAATGACATTAGAAAGTTCAGACTTGCCTGCAGTTTTGACATTTTAAACAACTTGAGTTCCTTTGAAAATGGATTAAGTCTCACCACTTCTTCATATTTGAACTGACCCTTTTTGTCCATTGAAGAGTTGATATATTGTGGAGCTTGAGAGTTCTGTCAGTATCTTTGTTCCTCCTAGTTCTGCACTTTTCTGGACTGAGATGTCTGATGTTTATTTCTGGGATCTGCTGTAGCCTCCTCCAGTTTGGGGCTTACTGCTCTTCTACGGACACCACTGATGTCTTCACCTTCCAGGCCTTCTCCAGCTCTTCCTTGAGGCCCTGGTATTTCTTTAGTTTCTCATTATTACCATCTCTTGGTATTGTGATATCCACCACCACAGCTTTGTCTGTATCTGGAAGTCCCACAGGATCGTGGCTCGGTGATTCTCCACAACCTTTGGAGGTGTTTCCCACCTTGACTTTGGGGTTTGCAGTCTGTACTTTGCCCAGATGTTTCTGCTGACACTTGTGCTGATGTTTATACCAGTAAGTCGCACACAGAGGAGACATTGTTGCTCAGAGTCAATGACAGGACAGTGAGTTTGTGTGGCCCTGCCGTTGCATGGGAGCTCACGAAGATAACGCTCACAAAAACACACACACACTGATACACACTATAAAAAGAGTCGACACACATCTCAGGATTCTGCCCCTGCCGTAGCTACTCTTGTCACTTTGTGCCTGGATACACAGTCTGTTTACCTCTGTGAGACTCAGTGAAACCCTCTGACTTTACATTTCAGATTCATGATCCTCTTTGATGCTCATCAGAAATGGGAAGTGTGCAGTTAGCATGCTAGTTGTCTTTAGCAAACTTGGACTCTGAAACGTGTAGTGTTGATGAACTGATGTCAGAATGTAACAGTGTGTTTATATTTTATTTTTATGAATAGTACTTCAGTAAATATAGTGTACATATATGTGTGTGTGTGTGGGGGGGGGTTATATAATGTGTACCTGGAAATGCATGAGCAGTTTGTGTTTGTGTGTTGGTGAAGGGCTGTAGCCTTTGAGCTGTTTCATATCACACCTACGTAGGTTGTAACATTAATGTGAGCGTGAACATAAATAATTGAAGCACTACAAAGAAAAGTCTTTCTAGTGCATGCACTGCTTCAGTGTTTCAACCACACCCAGTTTCAGTCTGTGTCTGCAGCAGAGCATCATGGTCAACATGAAGGTGAGTACAACAAAACTACTATTAAATCAGGAGGTCTAGAGTTTGGGGTTTTCAGTCTAAATACATTTTCACAGTGTGGAGACAAGATTTAGTATTGTGCACAGTTGAGAATTTATTTTTAAAAAAAAATGTTTTTTCAAGTCTATTTATACACTTTAGTCAAGTTTACTTTACAAACATTAAAAACAATCCCACACGTCCTTCCACCCAACCACCCTCCCCCATGAGGCATTCAAGTGCATTATACACAATGCACTTGAATGCCTCATTTAAAGGTTAAAGGTGCATTGTGTCACTTTTCTGGTAGAGAATCCATCAGCAGATGACGGACCCTGACTAAAAAGTTACATAGTGCACCTTTAAGTCACTTTAAACAACTTTGACTGAATCTGACATTGGACTTGTTTTCTATATGCTGCTTCAGTTTCTTTTGAAGAGAACTTCACCCACACCACTTCTTCATATTTGAACTGATCTTTTTTGCCCATTGAAAAGATTGTATATTTAGATTTAAAGCTGCCTTAAATGCCCATCTCAACTCAAGTGAGATAAGACTGTAGGTGTGCACTTCTGTTCATGACCACAGAAAGTTTCCATGTGGTACAGACCACCAGTCTCACAGAAAAGATTAAATACAATCTTAGTCCAGTGTAGCAGACAAAAGACTCATTATTTTACTTTCTTCCAATTGTCTATGAAAATCAATTTAATGATAATAAAAAAGTGATTGGATGGTGAAATCATCTAAAGTACAGTAAATAAACCATAAGAATATTCAAACATTTCATTGTGTGTTGCAGATACTATTTTTAACAAACCAGTGGAAATGTTACAGTCAGCCAATCACATGACACTTGATGGGTGTTTTTAACCAATCAGAAAGCTCCTCTATCACCTTCATATAACCTCCACTGACTTTGCCCAGTCACAGTCTTCGTCGTTCACCAACAGACACGATGATGATTCTGAATGCTTTCAGTGTTTTCCTGCTTTGGTCTCTGGGTAAGTAGCTATTTAAGCTCAGCTAAAATGTGTTAGCTAAAATATTTTCAGTCATTTTTAGCCCTAATGAGCATTTATCTTCCCAGGCGCAGCTTGGGATCATAAAGTCCTTCAAATTAATTCTTTTCAAAAAGTGAAATTTGGAGAAACGGTGGAAATGAGGTGTCACATTTACAGCAGTGGGAGAATCAACGTGTGGTACAAACTGACACACAACAGGAGATTAGAGCTGCTCGCTTCTACTGATGTCTTGTTAAATAACAGTACAGTCTCTATAAAGTTGAGAAATCGTTTCTCTGTTAAGTTGTCCCCTGTGGTCAGTACTTTGAAGATATTGAATGCAGAGTGGGGGGATGATGGTACGTACTACTGTGGAGTTTTGATCCTGAAAGATGTGACGTTTGGATCAGGAACAGCTCTGGTGGTTGAAGGAGATTCAAAGCTCATGCAGTCTGTGCTCCAGAGTCCAGAATATATCAGAGTGCAGCCAGGAGACTCTGTGACTCTCAGCTGTTCATTTAACACCAGCCTCTGTCCACAAGAACATACCAGTGTCACTTGGATTAAAAGTGGTTCTCAAACTGTTTCATGGAACTTTGAGAACACCAGTATGAACTGTGAGGACGCTGGAGAAACTTCATGTGTTCATAACCTGACCCTGACAGAAGTTGGTTCAGCTGAAAATGGGACTTTTCTCTGTGTGGTGACTGCCTGTGGAAACACGATGCTTGGATCTGGAACAAGGATAGAAATGTACAGTAAGTCAAGTCTCTTATTTGTCATTATACAAACAATGAGGCTCTGTGGAATTGTAGACAATCCAGTAGCTGTAGTTTCAGTATTTATTATGATTAGAGACAAATCTATCCATGTGTTTGTGCTCTTTTGGTAAATCTTCATTTAGAACTGCGTTATTTGTGGTTTAGTCTCATTTTAGACCTGGTTTAGTCTAATTTTAAACATCGCTTCAACTTAAATTAGACCTGACATAGTCTTTAGATACAATGGTATTCAGAAATTCAAAATTCCAAACATGCATAAAGGAGAAAAAGCTGATACGAGCACACAAGAGATATAAAAATTTTACTATAGCCAATAAAGCTGCTGAAAATGCAGAGTGTGAGACACATTATAGAGGAGCTGAATTAGCGGGACAAAAGACAAAAGGTGCACGAACGAAGACAGGACGTGCACAGCTTGGCCAATTGACACCGGCACAGAGATCAGTGATCTGTGACCGGCAGAGTCACCATGTGGACTGTGCCTCGTCCCACACACTGTGTGGACTCAATATGATGCACAGGACACCTTCAAAACAGTGTGATTATTAGTTATTTTAACTTTATATATTAGAAATTTGACTTGTACATTTTTACTTAACATCACTTTTAATGCAAAGTTGTAGCAGAAACTTTCCAACGTGGTAAACGTCCACAAGGTTTTTACTCTCATCATCTTGATAAATGAAGCAGCAGCCGCTCAACAGCTTCATCTGCATTTTCTCCTTCTGTTTTGTGCATTTTGGTCCAAACACCTCGTTTTGCAGATTCATTTGTTCCCAGGAGCAAACTCTGCATCTTATTCAAGATCAAGATGAAGGTTTATTTATTTGGCACTTTGAAAAAAAGACAGTACTGTCCCAAAGTGCTCAACAATATAGATAAGATAAGAAACAGAATGTGAGTAATACACAAATAAGTCTATTTTTACACTGAGAGGCAAATAAATCTGGACATCATCAGCAAAGCAATGAAAAAACAAAAACAAAAAAAAAACAACTACTTTACAATGTTAAGTGACCAAAATTATTATTATTTTCTGTATCGATTGAAATGGTTCAACTTAAATACTGAAAATTATCATTGTTTTATTCTATTTATACTTTTATTTTATTTTGTATTTTTTACTATTAAATACTGACCTCAACAATCAGAGTAATCTTTGTCATCTTAGCATCCTCACTCATTTTATTGATTGATTTATTTATTTATTTGATATGTACTTCCAAGTGTTATAAAGACCTTATTCAGATTATTCTGTTTCTGTAAAAGTATGGCCAAACTGTACATACACAGACTGGATAGATCCAATTCTTTTTGAAATAAAAAAAAATGTCCTGTTTGCAGAAAATCAACTGGTGCATCTGAGTCAAAGCTCCATCGCTCTGATTGTGGCTCTGATTGTGGTCTCTGTTGCGTTCGTGGTGTCTGTTCTTGCCCTGGTGCTCGTGAGCTGCAAGAAGTTTGACAAACAAACTCCAGGTACAGTTGTCATTCAGAAAAGTGTCAACACTATCAACTCCACAAAAGCAAAGCTGTGTGTTTATTTTACAGGAAGAGCTCTGTGCTGCCTGGACTCTCCTCAACACAACCAGGTCTAACCATTTTTATATTATTTTCAATCATATTCACATTAGTCATGTCAATAATGTCACATTATAGAAGCACTGTGTGACTTTTGTGGTGGAGGGTCTGTTACATGCTTGGCTCCATATGTAGATAGATATTTGTAGATATATATATATATATATGTGTATGGGATGTTTGACAGTCTGGAGTTTGATGTGTTGATGTACCTCTCCACAGGTCTGGTAACATCACCTGCTTTTGTCTCCATAGAGACAGATATGTTTAATGTCATACTGAAGACTATTTCAGACAAAGACATGTCAGAACACCAGAAAAGTTACATAGTGCATCTTTAAGTGGAGACATACTGTATGATTGTGAAATTGTGTGTGTCTCTGTGTGTGTGTTTATGTTATATTATATTTTATTATTATTATTTGTTTTTCTTTTTAGGTTGAAGACAGTGTTACATATGCTGGAGTCAGGATAGGGCACCACAGCGCCACCAACAGGGGGACCTCCATCCAACCCAAAGAGGACACAGTACTGTATTCTGACGTCAGAATTAAGAACAAACGAAGAAATAAATAATTGAAATAGAAAATAAATAAGTTGTGCAGTCTTCCCACATTTAAAGCTTTTTTAAAATTTTTTTATTTTTTTTTATTTTCAGTGTCCCAGCTTAAGTCATTTCAGTCAATTTAAGTCTTTTGTTTATAGTGTAAGAGGATGGGTCCAAGGGGAAAAGTAGGTCAAAGAGGGAGACAGGTGTGTGGGGATCATTCCATTGTGGAGGGCGACCGACACGGTCGCACTGCATACACAAATGCATGCTGAATATGCCGAAAATCTGCAAATAAAAGAAATGAAACACAGTACGGACTACGTGAGTTTTTGTATATTAATTTGGTGTGAGTCAAGAAGCGGACGCCCTGATGCACTGACCTCCACAATCACACCAAAGAGTGATCAACAGCACAAGTCACAAAGGACTCCCCTGGACGAGATCCTCACACAAAACTGAATTGAGTTATTTTGAAAAATAATTCTCATTCTTTTCATTCATTTTTGCCTAAAAACCCACTGATTAACCAGATGTTTTTGTGATCAGATTGATTTTGTGCTAGTAAACAATAACAGACACCAAAGATCCTCTATCTGAAAAACTACAAAGGAGTTTAGAAAAGTTCCTGTGTATTTTAAACCAGTCAACACACTGAGACAGAAACTGGTTCATCACAAGGATGAGACGCCAACACAAAAACAGACCTTCACCTTTATATTCACTTGATATTGACTGTAGGACAGAAGGATGCAGTGAGCAGGACGTTGGGAAGAGCAAACAACCACTACAGAAAAGACTGTATCAACATAAAAGACATTTAAAGTCTGGAGTCCACGTTAATACTGTCGAGCAGATGGAGCAGAGAGAAGGGCTGGTTTGAAAAAGTGAAGGAAACTATTATTGTGCAGAAAGAGAATCTCCCTTTCTTCCTTACCGCAGTGGTCTTGGGTGCACACCAGGACACTGTTAAACCATCTGTACCCATTGTTTTTCCTCCAACAAACTTTAAAGGAATATCCACCTCACGTTCAGAAGTCCTCACTGTCAAACCAAGCACTTCCTGTTTTGTTTCGTCATGTGCAGGATATGGGTGTCTGACATCAGAGTGACATCACCTTTTCTTTTTTCTAAATTAATTGTATTATTTCTCCTGATCGAGCTACAGGTGCAGAGACGAGGCCATGCTCTAAAATGTGGACTGTTTTCATGTTTTTGTTATTGTTGTGAAGCTTATGATTTATGAAGCATATTTTTGCTGTGGTTTATACTGTAAATACCTTTTGTACTGTCTTGTATATCACTCTGTAACTGTTTGGAAATGTTAATCATTAAATCACCAAAAACATTCTTTTGACTACACCATTGTTATTAATTAGGAACAGAACCCCGTCACACCTGATCAAAAACAGAGCTGGAGTTGTGTTTTGTTTCATTCACACATGTTTGAGTAATCCTGGATTATTTGTCTGTTTTCATGTGAACAGCTCCTTTTACCTTTATTTCAGTAGAAACTGGTAATTCCAGGGCTGAAATCTTCCATATGATTCCGGTGAAAGTGTGTGGAGTTTAAAAACACATTGGAGCACTTCTGAATTACCACGTGACATGACAAGGTGGAAGTATTTACTGTTTGAGAGAAGAACTTTGTTTGTGTGTTTGTGTGAATGAAACAAAACACAACTCCATGTCTGTTTGTGATGAGAAAAACTATATGATACATTATATATGTAAGAATACTGACCTTTGACCTATGGAAGATGTGAAATCATAGCTGTTACCATGATACCGAATCTTAGGGAATAGACTTGCACAAAGTTTGGACAACGCCTCTGAAGGGGTTCACTTTGAGACACTCTACCCTTCCCCCACTTTCTTGAACCTCCCTATCCTGGACCTGTCACCCAAGTCAAGACATACTGACTTGTGTTCATGCACTCCCTATGTGACCCCTTAAAGGATTAAAGATCTTTTTAAAAACTAACTTTTGTATAAAGCTTCACCTACTGATAAATCAGTTGACTGAAGTGAGTTCACTGACTATAATCAACAAATAAAAGACACTCTGGGATTTTGATGGAACAATCTCTAAATCTAAAATAAAAGCCAATAGACTTTCTCCAGAGAAAGAAAGAAAGGAATGAAATTCAATTAATTCAATGAACTAGTGCCAGTGTGTTTTAATACTGATTTGTAAATGTCATGTGAATACTTTATTTGTGTAAAACTGTTAATGTTCATAGTGTGTAATATGAGAGCTGTGTCACAACACTCTCCACACAAACTCACATTCCACACGCAGACCCACCATTGGTCAGGTTTTCCCGCTTATCTTAAGATTTAAGACAAAGAGGACAGACCTCACCCCAGTTCGCTCAGTTCTGACCAGTTTGTTCGTTCAGATCTCAGTTCAACAGCAGAAGATCACAGAAGCAGTTCAGCTCAGAATGGTCAAGATGTAGTAGAGCCGAACAAAAGGGACAACGCCCCAGTTCTCCCTCTGTTCGAAGCTGTGCCCGTCGCTTGACGTGGGTTTTTTTTATTCCAATACCTGTAACTGATCTGATTTGAAAGCGAAGTTTTCATATTTTTGCAAATTTAAATATTTGCATTTTTGCAGACATAGTCTTTTTGGTTGATGAGCCTTAATCTGTGACCAGCGCTGTTTGACCTCACAGACACTGAAACGTGTCCTCCAATCCTCTGGAACACAGGAGAGCGTCCCTCAGCCTGACGCCGACTGAGCCTGGAACATTGATCAGATCATGTGGCCTTCGTTCATTTCTTTCCGTTTGATTCTTCAGAACCGACGTCCTGAGAAACTCAAACCTTCATTGGACCTGTGAGGAGCACATGGTGACTGGACAGCTCCACGCTGTCACAGAATGGGTTGCTTCATCAATTTAGACTCAACACAGAACTTTAGATAACTCTTAAAGTTGTGCCTAATCTCATATTTCTAGACACCAGTTCAGAGCGACCTACACTCATTTGCATATTTCATATTTAAATACTGTCTGTTTAATTTGGTCCACAGTTTGCTTTGGTGAATAGTGATGTTCCAGTGATGTCATTCAAAATATGCAGGTCACTGAAATGGACAAGAATTTACAAACCTTCAGATCAATTGTTTAATTAATTATTAATTAATTCATTAACATAGGTCATTGATTAAATTGGATTGGTAATATTTCTCAACATTTGTTGAGTGGTGTCCCCAAATTTACTTCTAGTCAGAGCCGAACACTCACAAAGGCCACATGAGCGCTGCTTTAACTTAGAACTCCTAAATTCCAATCTGTAACATCAGTTACCCCCCTACATCATGGTATCACGCTGTGAGCCCATGTACATTTCTCCTACATATTTTGGTGCTCCGGTGTTGGGCCAGATGTAGTCACACTACATATAAGATCAGAAAACTGTGTCATATGGGCCTTTTATATCTGTTTACTCAAAACACAGAACTCTGAATGTATTTTATGGCGTAAGAAAGCTTTCAGAAATATTGTGCCAATAGAAATCTGTGTGTATTTGGGAAATCAGTGCATGTTTGTCTGTAGTTGTGCATAAAATAAATATTTGTAAACTCTCAAATGAATCCAGTCGTACATAAAATATATTGTGTGTATTTTATCCTTCAGAATATGAATTGAAAAGTTACAACGTCAAGAATTATAATCACCAAATGAAAATTTACGATTACATTTTCATCAGTACAAATACAAATTCACAGACGGGACTTTACTGTCAAAAATACTTCATCACTTCACAGACATTATTTATCGAGCAGAAGAAACTTCGATCAAGATCAAGTCTGTGCATGTTTAAGTTTGTAGCAGAGGGTTAAAAACAGAGTAATGACACAACAAGGAGCTACAACAGCGACCAACAAGTGGGTTCATTCAAATTTATTGTAAAAATGTCTAGTCTTGCCACATTGAATTCAGGAACCGAACGCTTCTGTATAATACTGTGTAGAAACACCTCCTCTGAACGGGAAACTGCACCTATATCTTAGTAGAAACACAGTGGAGCCAGTTGGTGAACATCAGATGTAACGTTATCCCAGGGATAATTAACAAATATCAGAGTTCTCTGTATGTTTAGATTAAAACATTCACAGCTACAACCACAGTGAGCATCAGTCAGTCTTAACCTTCACTGTCCTGGTTACAGACAGTGGGTTATATATGAGTTATAATGAACTAACAAATCCATCCAACAACACGGTGACGTTATACTCACCAGTAAATACTGAAGACATACCAAGGTGTTGCCTGTAAACATGAACATTAATTGATGCTGGAAGCTGCATTAAACTGTAATGTGTAACAGTTCATTGACTGTGACGTCTCTAACCAGCCGAGGAACTTTTGGTCCCATTTCATGTGAGAAATTCAGCTGAGATGAAGGTTAAGACTGACTGATGCTCACTGTGGCTGTAGCCGTGAATGTTTTAATCTAAACATACAGAGAACAGTGATATTTGTTAATTATCCCTGGGATAACGTTACATCTGATGTTGCCAACTGGCTCCACTGTGTTTCTACTAAGATATAGGTGCAGTTTCCCGTTCAGAGGAGGTGTTTCTACACAATATCACACAGCAGCGTTCAGTTCCTGAATTCAATGTGGCAAGACTAGACATTTTTACAATAAATTTGAATGAACCCACTTGTTGGTCGCTGTTGTAGCTCCTTGTTGTGTCATTACTCTGTTTTTACTCTCTGCTACAAACTTAAACATGCACAGACTTGATCTTGATCGATGTTTCTTCTGCTCGATAAATAATGTCTGTGAAGTGATGATGTATTTTTGACAGTAAAGTTCCGTCTGTGAATTCGTATTCGTACTGATGAAAGCGTAATCGTAAATTTTCATTTGGTGATTGTAATTCATGATGTCGTAATTTTTCAATTCGTATTCTGATAGATAAAATACACACAATATATTTTATGTACAACTGGACTCATTTAAGAGTTTACAAATATTTATTTTATGCACAACTACAGCCAAATATGCACCGATTTCCCAAACACACACAGATTTCTATTCTATGCGCACAAATATTTCTGAAAGCTTTCTTACTCCATAGTACTTGTATACAGTGTGCATGTGGCAGCATTATTCTGTTTAACGTGCTGCAATGATTTTTACCAGGAAAATTGTTCAGTCAATTATTATTTTTTAACCTCTGAGATGGCATCAGCCCCAAATCTTGTACTTGGTCTTGTTTTTATTCCCCATGTCAGTACTCATAGATGTCACTGAGTTTTGCAGCTTCATGAGTATTGTTTAACCATTTAAAGGGCCTCACGTCACATCAGTGGTGATACTTTAAATTGACATCACAAAAAAAACATGAACTTTGTCCCTTTAAACCCAGTTTCACTGTTACCACAGACACCTTTACAAGCAGACTATACTCAAGCGGATAAACCCGGGCGTCAGAAACGTTCAACCACATGAGCAAGAAATATTTAAAGTTGGCGAAGTATTTAAAGTATCTTCTATTATGATTATTATGAGCTCCATTTGTCTTATTATGGGCCTTTGTGGTTGTCAGTCAGTGGTATTAACAAAATCAACCAATCAGGTGGAGTTCCGCATGTGCTGTGTCCAATCAGAACCCCTCATCACGGGGCTTATATTTCATCTTTGCTCACTTCAGATCACAAGTGACAAGATGCTCTTCAAGGTTGTGGCTGTGATTCTTCTCTGGTCTCATGGTGAGTATGAAAACTAAAGCATTTCTTCACTTGATCATTTCTACATTTATATAATTCTATATATTTCTTTTTTTTTTGCAGTTGAGGCTCAGCTTCAGTTTGGACTTTTCCAAAAAGTGAGACTCGGAAACGTGCTTCATGTGAACTGTGAAGTCAACAAAGATTGGGTAACTTTGGTCTGGTACAAACTGGACACCAACAGGAGATTACAAAAAATAGCTATAGAATTTCGTGTTTCAGGTCTTATATTCAAAAATAAACATTACTCATTGAAGTCCCACGATACTGGTAGTACTCTGACTGTGGCAGACGTAACATGGGAAGACGCCGGCACGTACTACTGTGGAATATATAAAAACGATTATATAGACTTTAGAGCAGGAACCGTTGTAGTGGTTGAAGGAGAGTCCAGGTCCAGACCATCTGTGCTCCAGAGTCCAGACTATATCAGAGTGCAGCCAGGAGACTCTGTGACTCTCAGCTGCTCATTTAACACCAGCCTCTGTCCTGAAGAAGACACCAGTGTCACCTGGGCTAAAAGTACTTCTGCTTCTCAAATGTCTTCATGGAACCCCAGGATTACCACGATGTTCTGTGAGAAGAGCGACATAGGAGAAACTTCATGTGTTCATAAAGTGACCCTGACCTGGAAGGACTTCAGTTCTGCTGGAGTTGGGACCTACGTCTGTGTGGTGACTGTCTGTGGACACACGCTGCTGGGTACAGGGACCAGGATAAAACAAGGTGAGGACTGGTTTAAAGGTGCTCTGTGAACTTTTCTGGTGGACTTCCCGCCGTAATCACAGTGGAGACAGGTTAATGATCAGATTAATCGAAAAGCAAGTCTGCACATGGTAAGGATTCAAGTTTTTTTAAGGCATTTTTGAGCAATGAAACACCTGTAATTGAACAAATGTAAGGGAGATACAATATGTTTAATGCCCTACTGTGGAACATTCCAAGCAAAGAAACAACATTCCCATGGAGACAAGTGTGTAGCAGACCATCCACCTTAGAAGTTACACAGTGCACCTTTAATGCATTTTCAAGGTGTATGTAAATGCAAAGCAAATCCAATAGTTTTTACAAAGGAAAAGTGAGAGCTTCAGATGTTTTTTCTTAGTGAAGAAAAAAAAAAGAAAAATCCAGAACCTGTGCTCCTTAAGGACAAGGCTCAAAGTCTCGCAGTGAAAAATGTTGCATGTTTGTATTATCAAAACTTGATCGAAGCCGTGATAAAAGTTCAAAAGCAGAAGACGGTCTGAGTTTTTTTTTTTTTTTTTTTTGGTTTTATGGTTCAGGACGATTGCATTTCAACACAGCTAGTTTCAGTGTGTGTGTGTGTGTGTGTGTGTGTGTGTGTGTGTGTGTGTGTGTGTGTGTGTGTGTATAATCCCTCAGTTTTCCAGGTCGTCCAATTGACCGAATTTAATTTCTAATTTGCTATTTTAATATCATTAACATCGACCAAATTCACATTTTAATGCCTTGTACATGCCTCAAATCTATTCACAAGAAAGTCCCATTAAAAATAATTTGTGCATTTAAAATAATGATACAACTCAGCTTTTTTTTATTTGTATAATCAACTTTTTTTTTTTTTTTTTTTTTATACAAGTAGCTGAAAATGTAAGTAAGTTCCACAGTGCACTTTAATGTCACACAATGTTTTCACTAATGAACTTTAAATAAAAGTCATCCATATTTGTAAAATCATAATGTTATTTCCTATCATAAAAATGAAACATAGACAGCCTAAGTATTTTGAGGGCTTAAAATACAATGTGTGGTCAAATAATAATGTGTATTTCTTTTTTATTTTGAAGGGAATGAGGAGCGCGTAAGCCCAGCGGCCGTGGTCCTGATTCTGGTGTGTGTGGCGTTTGCAGTGACTGTTCTTCTTCTACTGCGACTGATAAGAAAAAACAAGACGCAAACTACAGGTGCTGGTCACATTCATAAAACATAGAAACAAACTTATTTTTGATTAATTAATCCATAGATGTATGCAAAGTTTGAAAAAAATAAAATCCTATCCTGACTTATGATACTTTCAACATCCCCAAAACCACTGAAAATTCACCTTTTCACAAATGAAGATTTAAGGTACACTGTGTTGTTACAGTCGGAGGTTGTCCTCTGCATTTGACCTTTCAGTACTGCTGGGGTCATCTCTCTGGAGCAATGGGCATGATGCTTGAGCACCTGGTCTTGGTCACGACTCCTTTAGCTGGAGGTTTCTCTTATTGTGCACATTTTGGGCTGATGGGAGAAACCACAGTGCTCAGAGAGACATAGAATGTCCGGGGAGTCACTGCAAACTTCTGTTGTGAGGAGAAAGTGTCACTCAGTTGCTGTTTGTGTTGTTATTTTTACTTTAGTTTTTTGTAACTGTGAATGATCTCACCACAAATAATATCAAATCCATAACAGAAACTTGTATATTTGATTCACAGAAGTGGAGCGAGACACTCACAGATCTCCTGAAGATTATGAGGTCAGCAACTCTCTCTCTCTCTCTCTCTCTCTCTCTCTCTCTCTCATATATATATATATATATATATATATATATATATATATATATATATATATATATATATATATATATATATATATATATAAGAAATATATCAAAAATATCTGCACAAATATTTCTGCATAAAATCCGTGCGTATTTGGTTGTAGTTTGCGCATAAAATAAATATTTGTAAACTGATGCTCGCTGTGGCTGTAGTCGTGAATGTTTTAATCTAAAAATACAGAGAACCTGATATTTGCTAATTAGCCCTGGGATAACGTTACGTCTGATGTTAGCCAACTGGCTCCACTATGTTATCTAACATATAGGTGCAATGTCCCGTTCAGAGGAAGGTGTTTCTACACAATATTATACAGCAGCGTTCGGTTCCCAAATTCAAGACATTTTTACAATAGATTTTAATTAACCCACTTGTTGTTCGCTGTTGTAGCTTCTTGTGCTATTACTCTGTTTTTACTCTGCTACAAACTTGAGCTGCACAGTCTTGATCTTGATCGAATGTTTCTGCTGCTCGATGGATAATGTCTGTGAAGTGATGACGTATTTTTGACAGTAAAGTTCCGTCTGTGAATTTGTATTCATACTGATGAAAGTGTAATCGTAAATTTTCATTTCTTGATTGTAATTCATGACGTCGTAATTTTTCAATTCGTATTCTGATGGATAAAATACACACAATATATTTTATGTACGACTGGACTCATTTGAGAGTTTACAAATATTTATTTTATGCGCAACTACAGCCAAATATGCACGGCTTTCTATTTTCTATTTTATGCACACGAATATTTTTGACAGCTTTCTTACTCCATATATATATATATATATATATATATATATATATATATATATATATATATATATATATATATATATATATATATATATATATATATATATATATATATATATATATATATATATGCATGCATGCATGTGTATGTATTCATTGCTCGTGTTGTGTTCCAGGCTGAAGAGAGTCACACTTATGCCCAAGTGAATCGACGGCCCGCACAGGCTCCAGCAGAGCTGCTCACCTACTCTGTAGTGAGAATCTCTCGAGCCAAATGAACCGCTACACGAGAACGGAGGCTCCAGTGGATTCTTCAGCATTTCTGTGGGGGTCTACTGTTTTACATGTTACATAATGTGACCCAGTAACTTGGTCTATATGTGGTGTTTGAGTGTTTAACATGTCTGTAGACAAATGTCTCTTTGACATTTTTTTTAATCTGTGAAAGGAGCAGGGTTTATAAGATTTATCTTCTTCCTGTTCGTCTTGTTCATGCAGCAAAGACAAGGCAAATAATGGTTGGAATATGTATTTATGTTAATTGTCAGATTATTTGTTGTTGTTGTTATTCTCTTTACCTTAATGCCTACAAAATAATAGTATGAGCAATAAATAAAGAAAATATAAACTCCATGAATCTATATCTGTAATTTTAATTTTGTCTGATTTTCTTCCTTGTATTTGAGCAAACTTTGTCCTGACACATGTTTTGTATGGACAGTTCTTGAGGTCAAAGAAAATCAGTCCATTGTGTGCTGTCTACATCATCAAATAACAGGAAGTGGGCTAGTTGTTGTTAGCTTTACTTTGGCAGCAAAACTGTCCTCTGGCATCTGAAAGTTGTGAAACGTGTCAATAACACAACTACAATCCCACTCAGCAAACCGATGAACTTATGTCAGAATGTAACAGTGCATTCATATTTCACTGTCGTTTTTGTGTTTGTTTGGTTTATTTTGAAGGGGCAAAATCAACTTTTTTGAGATTTCTACTAAGTTATAATGTCCTTCAAACAATACATGTCTGACTACTTTAGAGATCTCTACTGGGCCCTGTTCAAATTCTCCTTAAGGTTAACAGTTTGACCCTCAGCCTACAAACCCACGTCACCCCTGATGGCAATTTTCCATAAACATACAGAAGCATGACACAAAACGATACACGACAACTTAACAAACCTGATATAATGTGCAGTAGATTCATTAGTGGGATGCATGTTCATTGTAACGTGGCAGCGCTCTGAAGGGGGAGTGAGCTAAAATGATGATCTAAATATGTGTTAGAAATGAAAACCGAAGTGCAATACACCCTCTTTAACAGAACTTAAATAAATAAAATGTGTGCTTGTAAATGTGTATTTGTTTGTATTCTGTATTATATCTGGTGAAGGGTTTGTAACCTTTAAGCTGTTCTATATCAAGTTTCATCAGTTTATTTAGTACACCTACATCACTTCGGTGAGCATGAGCATAAATATTTTAGGCCCTACCAAGAAAAGCCTTTGTAGTGCATGCAGTGTCTCAACCACACAACCAGTGTGAACGTGTCTCTGCAGCAGAGCATCATGGCCACAGCTCTACTCATGGTCAACATGAAGCTGAGTTCAACAAAAGTACTACTTCTGAAAACAGCTGATGTAGGTTTGAGGTTTCCAGTCTAAATACATGTTCTTATTTTATACACACTATTGACTTAAATCACAAGTACATTTTTACTTTTCAAAATCTATTACAACACTTTTGTCGAGGAATCAATCAGTAGCACAGAGCTTTACTATTTATATTTATTAAAAACAAACCATCCAATCCAACCACCCCATAAATAAAGAACATGAGACTGAGGACAGAAAATGTATGTTTCAGCATCCTATTTGAATGTCTGTGATCAACAGTCTGCGGCTCTCAGTGATGTTACAAAACCAACCAATCAGGTGGAGTTATGTGAAGGCAGTTGTCCAATCAGATACTCCGGTTCAGGACCATAAAGTTGGTCTCCTGCCTTCTTCAGATCATAATCACCTACACCGAGACAAAATGATGTCTGTTCTGAGGGTTCTAGGTGTGATCCTGATCTGGACTCAGGGTAAGTTATGACACTGACACATCTGATCTTTATCTTTTTCTTTATATAACTTCATTTTTTTTATTCCAGCTGAGACACAATCTCAACCTGAATTCTCTCGAACCACAACACTGGGAGCCACATTACATGTAAACTGTCAAGTCTACAGTGGTTCAAGAACTGTGGTCTGGTACAAACAGGACTCCAGCAGGAGACTACAACTGATGGTATCAGCAAATAGCCATAAAGGTCAAAATCTCTACAAAGATTCCCGTTACTCTGTGCAGTCTTCTGAAGACAGAAGTACTTTGAGAGTGTCACGTGTGACCTGGGAGGATGCCGGCACGTACTACTGTGGAGTCATGAACGAGTACGATGTCAACTTTGGACCAGGGACTGTGGTGGTGGTTGAAGGAAAGTCCAGACCTCCACCTTCAGTCCTGCAGACTGTTCTTCCTTCAGTCCAGTCTGTGGTCCAGAGTCCAGACTACATCAGAGTGCAGCCAGGAGACTCTGTGACTCTCAGCTGTTGGTTTAACACAAGCCTCTGTACAAAAGACCACATCAGTGTCCAGTGGAAGAAAAAGAGTTCTACATCAGGAACAATGTCATGGAGCAATGGAACCAAGAATATCATCTGTGAGAACCAAGTCAACACTGGAGAAACTTCATGTGTTCATACCCAGACCTGGAGTGACCTGAGTTCTGCTGAAGGTGAGATGTTTGTCTGTGTGGTGACGGCCTGTGGACACACACTGCAGGGCAGAGGGACCAAAATCCAGCCTCACGGTAAGAAGCAAAGTAACATTAACAGCTCTTTTCATTTCTTTTACCAGTAAAGGAGTCTTAACATTAACATGATACTTGAACATCAGTTGTATACTCGAGTATTATTGATCAGGAGCAAAATTGACTCATATTCTTTCTGTAGACACAGACTCCTGTATAGAAGGATCATCTGTCGTGTTTTGTCTGAGGCCAACAGTCTTAGCAGTGATTGGGTTGAGCACTGGTCTTGCAGTTCCCCTGCTTGGGCTGGTATGTGTGCTGTGCAGAAACCACCAAAAACAAGAGCCAGGTATAAACTTTCATGTATTTTCCCTTTTTCAATCATTTCAGAATTGCACTGTGATAATGAATTAATAATGAATGTGTTTGTTAGACACTGGCCGTGGAGTTCATCAGGACAACCAGGTCAGAGTCATTTGTCGTCCATATTCAGATAGTCTTTACTCTCATCTGCATGTACACAGATTAATTGTTTGTGCTCCTTTTTAGGCTGAAGATGGAATCATCTATGCACGGGTGAATGTAAGCCCCAGCAGAGGCTCAAGAGAAACCTCCTGAGGAGCCACCACTTTACTCTCCAGAGAAGATTCATCCAAAAGACATAATATCACACAAGCAGAATTTAAATAGAAAGCTACAAGGATTTACTGTATTTTATTGTGTTAAATTATCATTATTATTATTAATATTATTATTATTATTATTAATAATAATAATAATAATAATAATAATAATAATAATAATAATAATAATAATAATAATAATACACAGCATGTTTAAAGAGGCACAACATATTCCAACATGCTACGCACATTTCAGTGTTCTGTATTTGCAAACTCCCTCTCTTGACGCAAGTCAAACTGTCTTAAGCTGAGTGAACATTTTTCTTGCATATGATAAATAACTGTAATAAAATGTTTTGATTGTGTCCTTTTTATCTATTAAAAAAATTATAATAATAAAAAAATAACTCTCAAACCCTGTCTCAGTGTCAAATTGCAGAGTACAACTTGTAGTGGCTTGTATTCACAGCTTTGGTTCTTTTAAAGTTGATACTTAGGAGATGTATTTGTGTAGTTGACATGTTTGACTGTGAGCTGATAATCCTCTGAACTGTCCCTGGTCTTGGTTGTGAGGTGTGGATCGTTACTTCCTGAGGCGTGTTCAGTCTGAGTGACCTGCTGCGTCTGTCAGGCCGACCCCTCCTCAGGAAGAAACAACAGCTCTGACCCACAGCTAAAATGATCATGAAAATGTGTATTCTGGCTGCGAGCATGGGCCTCTCCACGGATCTGACCTGTAATTTGGCCTAGCGCCGTAGCCTGCTAGACGATAGATAAAATGATAGATCATTTTAATACAAACTACTGAGAAATCCAGGCAAAGCAATGACATCTCCATGACCACAAACATTTGGCAGACCCTGCAACATAAACAAATTAATCCACCAGAGAAAAAACATGGCTAAAATAACAAAAAACACTGTAAATGTTCATGAAACAAAATACGCTTTCAAATCTGTTTCTGTAAAAGACACAGAGAGAGACACATACTTGGATACTTCATTGATCCAGAGTGAAATTCAAGTTTTGCTGCATCATTTACAAGGTGCATTCCTCAGATTCACAATCAGAAATGAACAAATATTTTGAATGATTTAGTTCCAGGTTTACGTGATACGTGACAGGTAGCCTCTTGTCATGTATAATCAATGTTTGAAAGTTTCTCATCCACTTGAGGTGCTGAGAACCTAAGAAAAGGGTATTCTGTGAGCTTCTACTCACCACAAGTCGACATATATATCATACTAGAAACCCCGGGGGCCAGGGCCTTGAAACTACATACATACATACATTCTCTGAGGGTTGCTTTATTTTTCTGCTATGACAAGAATATATATGGATGTAGAATGAGTTATGAAACAGTGGCATGTCAATTTTATCTCAACAAATCATCTCATAACCCTCGACCTTAGTGGTAAAAAGATGAAATACATCTCACATCTTGTTGGAGGTGAGGTTACACAGAAACATTTTATAATGTTAAATTAGGATTCAACTATGTTCATAGTATAACAGACACGTGGTTTGTATTTCACCGAAATATGCACCCCATCTCTAACTGGGGAACCAATCAGGTTATGGCACATGGATGTTTTGACCAATCAGATAGCGATGCTCGCACCTTAAATTTCATCCCCTGTTTATTTTCGATCAGAATGCTTTTGAGAAACGATGATTGTCTTTCTCGCTGCGATCCTGCTCTTGCCTTTGGGTAAGTAACATGATCAGTACAACATGATCAATACATTTGAAAAACCTTGACTTACAGACGGCATTTTTCTCAGGAAAGGCTAGTCAGCTGAAAGTCCTCCAAACATCTCCAGGAGCCACATTTCATGTAAACTGTCAAGTCTACAGTGGTCCAAGAACTCTGGTCTGGTACAAACAGGACACCAGCAGAAGACTACAACTGATGGCTTCAGTAATTAACAATAAAAGGAAAAGTATATACACTGAAGATCGTTACTCTGTGCTCGATTCTGAAGTTAATAGTACTTTGAGTGTATCAAATGTGATCTGGGAGGATGCCGGCACGTACTACTGTGGAGTCATAAACGAGTACGATGTCACTTTTGGACCAGGGACTGTGGTGGTGGTTGAAGGAAAGTCCAGACCTCCACCTTCACTCCTGCCGTCTGTTCCTCCTTTACTCCTGCCGTCTGTTCCTCCTTCACTCCTGCCGTCTGTGCTCCAGAGTCCAGACTACATCAGAGTGCAGCCAGGAGACTCTGTGACCCTCAGCTGTTCATTTAACACCAGCCTCTGTCCACAAGAACATACCAGTTTCCAGTGGAAGAAAAAGAGTTCTACTTCAGAAATCATTTTATGGAGCAGTGGAACCAAGAATATCATCTGTGAGAACCAAGTCAGCACTGGAGAAACTTCATGTGTTCATAACCTGACCCTGAATTGGAAGGACCTGAGTTCTGCTGAAGATGAGACCTATGTCTGTGTGGTGACGGCTTGTGGACACACACTGCAGGGCACTGGGACCAGGATTTATCTGCACAACATCATAACATGTAAGTACATTTTTTGTGTGTATTCATCCGTTCAACACATGTGCAGTTTCAAAAATGCTTCATTTCCAAGTCTACAAGAAAACTTTCACATTGTTTTTTTTAGATTCCTTCAGTCCAAATGTCATGGCTGTGATTGGGTCAAACATTGTGGTTGGACTGGTGGTGTTTGTGCTTCTGTGGGGGATTTGGAGAAGCAGCAATAAGTCAGGTACTGTCCATATAGTCATCTAGAACTTCCACAGAGTAATACCTGCTTTTAATCTTAAAACTATTCTACAAAAAACTATGTTATTTTGACAGAAGTGGACTCTTATGACCGAAGATCTTCTGACAACAGTGAGGTCAGTCCACTATTCTACTATTCATTTGTGCAAATAACCAAACAAATAAGAACCTCCCATTGTGTAATGACTGCATTTTTTAAAACAAAAAAATATCTGTAAGAATTGGAGAAGCTGACAACCCACAATGGAAAATTACTGATTTCCCCCACCCCATATTTCTGCCCACATGTCTGTACTTAATTGTGGTTATTTATAAAAAATTAAGACATGCAGCCGACATATAAATGTCCATCTGCAGTTTGTTACAGTGAGTTGCCACAACGGAGAGACATGGTTTCTCACTTCAGTGTTTAACAGGAAGTCAATGGTCCCATTTATATTATTAAGCAGTTTTAGATACACATTGCATTTTTAATGAACAAAATGTAAAATTTGTATTTGCTTAAGATATAATCAATAATAAGGATATTATTCAGTTACATAAATCTTGTAGTTTTTGTTTTTGTTTGTCTTCTTCTACATACTGTCCATTTTCCAGTTTCAGGATGACGACACCCTCACATGTGCAGAGGAGAGTTTGGTCTCTTCTTGCCGACTGACAACAATGAAACACAGACGAGACCCCGACATTTACTCTCAAGTGTGGTACTGTCACCGTGAATGAAGTCGGATCAAATGCCAAGCAAACTTTTACTTGTAACATTTTATATTCACAAATAATACTGAAGAGAAATGTGTACGATGCCGATTCAAACAACCAATTTGTGCATTGTGTTGTAAAATAAACTACATTCAGTAATTTCCTCTCTTTTTCGAACTTCAGTGAACCATTACTATCAGTAGCAAACAAAAACATGGAGGAGGAGGAGATCTGGAGGACTAAATGGGAGATTCAGGGAGGTTCTGACTGATATTATTATAATTGTTGAAGTATTAGTAGTATTGAAGTACAATGCCCCATCCAGTTGAACAGTGATAATCAGTAAAGTTCTTGTAGGCCTCTTCAACTGAACTCCACTTTTGACCTACTTTGTCTGTGTCTTCATGTCCTGATTGGTCCTCTGGCTCTGACCTCACCCCCTGTTCTTTAAATGTGCACAACCTGCTGACTGACGACAATGAAACACAGACGAGACCCAGACATTTACTCTCAAGTGTGGTACTGTCACCCTGAATGAAGTCCGATCAAATGCCAAGCAAACTTTGATTTGTAACATTTTATATTAACAATCTTTGTTATGGAAGAGAATTTGTTTTTATCAGTTATATTGTGTGTATTGTGTTTCTATGAAATAACTGATGAATAAAGTGATTCTCTCTCTCTTTTCCCAAAATATATTCATCAGTTTTCTTCTTGACAGAACAATAACTACAAAAACAAAACAGAGTTGCTCAGCATGACCACAATATGGAAACATTTTATTTATTTATTTTATAACTATGTTTTTATTGGTTTTAAGTAACATTTCAAAACATACAAAAACAATATAAAATCAAAAAACAATGTAACAACAGTCTGGAGTTACAGGGTCTTATTTAAACATACATTGATATTGACATTTGCGTGCACTACGTTGTTTTTCTGGTGTCATTGATGAATACATTCCATTTCCCCATTGCTCATTGTATTTGTATCCTTTAAGTTTAAGATTCTATGTTATTCTTTCCATCATTGAAATATTCTCCACAATCATGATCCAAAAGGCAAGTATAATATGGAAACATTTACACATAGGCTGCAATATCAACAAAGAAACATCAACAAAAAACAGAAAATAAAGAGTAAACCGTTAGGTGTCATGCCCTTAGTCTTTCAGGGTCACACTGGAGACTGAGGAAGAGGTTCAGCATCTGTTGAAGGCTGCCTGATGAAGGTCAAGGGCTCAAACGTTGCTGCCAAGGCCGGATTATCCACATGTGCCAGTGCCACTGTGCCCAGGGACATCAACCACATGACACAAACTTTAAAAATATGTTTTGTAAATGTATGTTATTCACTTGAAAATAATAAATGTCCATACATAACTCATCATTAACACTAATTCCATAATAACAACAATAATAATGATGATAATACTGAACAAATCAAGTACATATGCGCGCGCAAGTGTGTGAGAGACTTCTTCATCCCTACAGTGTCAAAAATAAACAGTGTCTTTATCGGCGTCAGAACAGGATTGAAAAAATCTATATCATACATGGAGAAAAGCTGACAAGGAATGTGCTTTTTTTTAAAAAATTCTACTGCAAACGTGTACTGCTTGTAAACTTTTTGGGGTGGCTGGACACTATATATAAAATATAGTTGCATTGTATGATTTGGTAAATCAAAAAAAATATTGTCTATTACTTTATTAACTTTAACATTCACATTATATTATTGAGGAGCCTGTAATATTGTCTAAAGGTGCAGAAGGTTTGGGTTTTACTTGCATTAAAACTACAGAGAGGGACCTAAAAATACCTTAATGCCATTGGTGACTGGTGTAGGTGTATAATCTTCCAATCATATAGTGAAGTTTGCTGATGACACAGCAGTGGTGGGGCTCATCATGAACAACAATGAGTCCAACTACAGAAGGGAGGTCTGTCAGCTCGAGGCCTGGTGCAAAATTAACAATCTATGCATCAATGTAAAGAAAACAAAGGAGATGATCATGGATTTCCAGAGGGAACCTAATGCCCCTTCTCCTCTGTACATCAATGGAGATGCAGTGGAGATTGTTTCCTGTTTTAAATACCTGGGAGTCCAAATCATGAACAATCTCAGCTGGTCTAACAACACCAGCTGCACAGTGAAAAAGGGACACCAACGCCTATACTTCCTTAGGCGCCTCAAAAAAGCAGGTCTCGGCTCCTCTGTCCTGAAGGCCTTTTACAGGTGTGCGGTGGAGAGCATCCTCACCTCCAACATGACTGTGTGGTTCAGCAGCAGCATCGCGGCAGAGAGGAAAACTCTGCAGAGGGTAGTTAGAGCTGCGGAGCGCATCTGCGGATGTAGCCGGTCCTGCATCATGGGAGTCTCCACCATCCAGCACATGGACTTTTTACAGCTCTCCCATCAGGCAGAAGATTGTGCCACCTACAGGCCAGGACCACCAGACTACAGAACAGTTTTTATCCTGATGCCATGAGACAGATTAGTTCTGTCAGAACGCCCAGACAGCTTGAAGTGACCCAAATCCAATTTTTTGGCCCCTATGTGACCTGTATCTGATCTTTTAATGACAGTCTGAATGACACAGATCTGATTTTTTCAAATGCGACCCAGGACACTTGGATATGTGCTCCTAAAACTGATACATATCTGATCTTTTCAGTCTGAATGGCCAAAGTGCATTCATCCACCTACACGTTATCAACAAGCCACAAACATCACTATTCTTCGCTGAAGTAGGTGAAAATTGTTAATGAACTCCGTGTCTACATCACCACTCACCACTCTTGGCTACGTCTCCAGATCCACATTCCATTCCTTTCAACGGACTGTTCCACAAAACACCACGGCCAAAAACCTCGTCTTTCTCCTTCTCAATCTCCTCCTTAAAACAAGTAAGTTGTTCATGTTCTGGCTCCGGTACGAGAGGAACTTTAAAATCTCCAGGTGCTCGATGCTGCGTCCATGTTCGGACAACTTCCGTAACGCTCGCTGCGGTTGACGTCGTCGAGTCTCCAGTGCGCATGCGGGACACTTTCGGGCCATTTAATGTTCACACTGGAGTCACATACAAGACGCATTTAATTGGAAATGTGAACGACATCGCAAAAAATCGGATTTCACAAAAAAATGTGAATTGAGCGTTAAGCCCTGCAGTCTGAACGTAACACAGGGGCGGGTGGGGGCTGTTTTTTTAAAGACTCTATTTGACATACAATATTTTAACTATTTATTCTGATTCTGATAATACACCTACACCAGTCACTAATGTGAGCATGAGCATAAATATTTTAGGCACTACCAAGAAAAGCCTTTCTAGTTCATGCATTGCTACAGCGTCTCAACCACACTACTGGTTTCTGTCTGTCTGTGCAGCAGAGCATCATGGTCATAGCTCTTCTCATGGTTAACATGAAGGTGAGTACAACAAAACTACTACTTTTGAAAATAGTTGGTGTAGAGTTTGGGGTTTTGAGTCTAAATACATTTTCAGATTTTATACACACTATTGATCACAGTGTACATGGTGACCAAATTTAGATTGTGAACAGTTAAAGAAAATTTTGACTTGTTGCTGACAAAAAGTCAGTCAACAACAAAGTGCTTTACAGTCCATTAAAAACAATCCCACACACTCAGACACCCAACCATCCCATGACTTTAACACACACTAAAACAAAGAACATGAGGCTGAGTACAGAATATTTAAATGTATGTTTCAACTTACATCCTATTTGAAAGACTCTGATGAACAGTCTGCGGCTCTCAGTGACGTTATAAAACCAACCAATCAGGTGGAGTTATGTGGAGGCAGTTGTCCAATCAGATACTCCGGCTCAGGACCTTAAAGTTGGTCTCCTGCCTTCTTCAGATCATAATCACCTACACCGAGACAAAATGACGTCCATTCTGAGGGTTCTAGGTGTGATTCCTGATCTGGACTCAGGGTAAGTTATGACACTGACACATCTGAGCTTTATCCTTCCCTTTATATAATTTTTTTTATATATTTTTTTTTTATTATTCCAGCTGAGACACAATCTCAACCTGAATTCTCTCAAACCACAACACTGGGAGCCACATTACATGTAAACTGTCAAGTCTACAGGGGTCCAAGAACTGTGGTCTGGTACAAACAGGACTCCAGCAGGAGACTACAACTGATGGTATCAGCAAATAGCCATAAAGGTCAAAATCTCTACAAAGATTCCCGTTACTCTGTGCAGTCTTCTGAAGACAGAAGTACTTTGAGAGTGTCACGTGTGACCTGGGAGGATGCCGGCACGTACTACTGTGGAGTCATGAACGAGCACGATGTCAACTTTGGACCAGGGACTGTGGTGATGGTTGAGGGTAAGTCCACACTTCCACCTTCAACCCAGCAGTCTGTTCCTCCTTCACTCCAGTCTGTGGTCCAGAGTCCAGACTACATCAGAGTGCAGCCAGGACTCCAGTCTGTGGTCCAGAGTCCAGACTACATCAGAGTGCAGCCAGGAGACTCTGTGACCCTCAGCTGTTGGTTTAACACCAGCCTCTGTACAAAAGACCACATCAGTGTCCAGTGGAAGAAAAATAATTCTACATCAGAAACAATGTCATGGAGCAATGGAACCAAGAATATCATCTGTGAGAACCAAGTCAACACTGGAGAAACTTCATGTGTTCATACCCAAACCTGGAGTGACCTGAGTTCTGCTGAAGATGAGATGTTTGTCTGTGTGGTGACGGCCTGTGGACACACACTGCAGGGCAGAGGGACCAGGATTGTTCTCCACTATATGACAGTTGATAATCTGATCCCAACATGTGAGTATAATCTATAAATAAATAACTTGCAGCAGCAAACTGTTATATTTCAAGTATGTTTTACTCAACATGTATTGAAACAAATTAACTGAAACTTGTTTAATGGTGTACCCTACAATACACAACTCTAATTTATAAAGAACATTTGTGAAGTGTTGTTGATAACCTAGTTAATATTATTATTATTATTATTATTATTATTATTATTATTATTATTATTATTATTATTATTATTAATTATTAGGCCAGGCACATTAACGCATTAATTTAGCATTAACTAATTAAGTCATTATCGCCACAAATTATTTTAACGCAGTTTTTATTATTTATTTACT